ATTCTATTAAATTATTTTTGTCTTAGACACCTCATACAGTGAATGGATAGTAGTTTTCAAATGGACAGAAATCCGGACAGAGTATTTTTTTCTCTTCAATATTAAGTGTTGTAGTCATTTATTTACAGCAAAATATTAAAACTTCCTTTCAAAGAGAGATTTGTTATATTTAGGTATCATTGTCATGGACTTTACTATAATGCTTATGGCTCTGAAATTGGAATGATTCAAGAATTAATTTATCTCCATACACTCAAAAGTGAGGGAGAGATTGTCTTAACTGAGGAACTTAAATGGAGACTGAAAAGATGTACTGATATTTGATGTCCAACTCATTTCATATAAGTCTTGATTTTAAAGGGAAATCAGCTTCCTAAAGGATTTTGTGTTCATAGCACAGATCCAATGACTTTAATTGTAGCTGGAAATACTTACTATTGGTGCAAATGAGACTCTAGGGTATCAAAGTGCACACTGATTAAAAAAAAAACAAAAACAAAAAAAACACCAAAAAGAACCTGAAAAACTAAAACAAAAATCCAGCTCCAAAATAACACTTGTTTTTAAATCACAGCAAGCTGAAACAAAATAACAAAATATGTAAAGTATGCAGGTTTTGCCACACAAATCAAATACCTTAACCACAGACCCTTTGTTCTCCTCTTGAAAAATTTTTGCTTATAGAGATTAATATATTTTCAGATAATTTGGTAGAAGGTTTGAGGATTCTTTCATCACTTCATTACACTGGCTGTAATGCAAGCATATTCTCTCTCCACAGTAAATGGAATAAGATTCCTGCCAAAAACATGATTAAACTCGCCACATGGATGTGGCCCTAAAATCATGCTTTAAATGAACCTTCTATTATTTTCTTAATTTATATTTGCCATTTTACTACTTGATTTTTGACCATTAGTAATCTCTGAATATGAATTTTTGATGTGTAACACCCTTTTTTATTAAGAGGCTAATTAAAATCATTACTATAAGTTGTGTACTGTGGTATCACAACCAAAAATGTCTCGCACTCTGCCACTTGAGCTGATTGAATACCAAGAATGTGCTCTCTAAACCAACACTCACAAGAGAGGTCACCAGCAGCAGATTTCACAGGTATTTGCTGTCATTTACATTCCCTTTAAATATTGGAGGGAATAATATTTTAGCAAGACAGGTTCTGTTTTCCTATTTTCTTCAGATATACCTATCTAAACTGTTATTCCTGTTTCTCAAAACTCTAGTTTTATAATGTAAATTTTCATTCCAACTGCATCCTTCCTTCCTTCCTTCCTTCCTTCCTTCCTTCCTTCCTTCCTTCCTTCCTTCCTTCCTTCCTCGCCCCCACCCCAGTTCTTGTTTAAGCCTTTTAATAACAGACCCTACTAAGAATCATTGTGTGGTCCCTTCCATTTACCTTTTTCCTCTACCCCTTTTCTCTTTTTCTTTACATTTATTTATCAGACTGTTTCTAATTCTTTCTTTTCAGTTACTTCACCTTTCTTTCCCAGGAACTGGTCTCTTTCTCTCCCTGCTTCAGACAATGTTGTTCCCATCTTTCACTTTTTGTCTTGAGGTCTGTACGCATAATTATAATGATCTGCCCCTGAGTCAGTGAGAAAGCTTCCTTTTCTGTGCTGATTGGGTCTTTCCCCAAGAGAAGATGCTGGCCCGAGTGACACAGGAATTACAGAGTTCAAGTACTTATGTTCCTTTCCAAGAATACACAGATAGTTTTGTTCCTAATTTATAAAGGGTACAGCTTTTGAAGCAATTAATAAAAAGATGGGAATGCTATTAAATGTTACTTGTTATTAGTTGCAATGTAGATTTTGGAATAAAAGGATAAGCCCCAAGAAAAGCTTGAAAGTTCTCTAGCAGTTTTAATCACTGTTTTAATTAATACTGAGCTAAGGCTATCCCACTGATCACAAAAGAGAAATGCACACATCAAAACCAACCTGGAAATAAGGTTTCATAGTGATTCTCTGATGACACAGGGGATATATATTAGATTAATGTAAGAGGCAAAACATATTTGGTCAAGAGAGGGACCCATCTGCACTACATCGTATTATTTTACTCAGTATGAACAACCATGCTATCACAATTACTGAATTATAAAATGGGCAACCAAAAATTGTGCTATGTGCAATGTTGAGAGAAAAGGAAAAAGAATATTAGGTTTTGTCCTACAGATTCTCTTTTCTATTCCACAGCTTGCCCTGCATATATGTGATTTTAAAAATAAGTTACATGCCTAACATCAGCTTGAAGGAACTCCTAGGAACTAGATACACAGACACTGTGCCTTAATTTGTTTCTTTTTCCTCATTATTGCATCTGCTTGATATCTTTCTTATAGAGAGACCCACATTAAGAATCCAATAATCAGACTTTTTTCCCTGTAGGCAACATGCACAGCATCATAATCATAGTTATAAGCATCATCTCACTTCATTTTAGCCACCTAAATGTTAGGGGCCAGTTTAGCCAGGTGTCTAATGTATATGGTAATAACTTTGTTGCTGAGGAGGAAAAATATTTCCCTCCAGAAAAATTTTCGTTTCAACTATGTCAGATGTCAACTGTCTACTACCTTAGGAGAGAATTATGTCTCTCTCTACTGGCATAATTGGCATGAAAATTTATCTCTGGGATACAATTTATAGTGGAAATGAGATTTCTCCACTGGAAAGAACTGAGACAATCTTATTACTTATACAAATGACCACACCTACTTTTTAACCTTGTAAATTACTGGTAACAAAAAGGTGGCAATTTACCTTATGTCCTTTCTCCTCTAGTCAGGGACGCAAGCATAATTTATAATATTTAGTTTAGTGTATATACCTATCCATTGCAGTTAAAAAAAAAGGATATAATATTGCTATTAGAAATCAAATATTTCGGTTCATACTAATCTGTCTAAACTTTATAAACCTGAGTATGAACTTCTGGCTCTCATTACATCAGGTGTTTTGAGTTTCACTGGTGACTTTAGGGAGCTTAGGTTTCACAGATAAGGCCTTTACATCCTACACAAACTATGTTCTCTCTGACCAAGGTTTTGCAGAAAGAATGTGTGAATTATTTAACATTCCTGTCTTTTCTAAATAAGGTAACAAATTATTTTCCCCCCTTATATTTGAAACAGTTATTGCCAGTAACCAATACCTGAGGTGAAGTTTTAAATGTGGTTCAGCAACACATTTAGTATCAGTTGTGATGCTGACATGTCTAGAATCCCTTAGAGTTAACAGAAACTGTTAATTATATCACTTTCAGTAGCTAAACTGTAGTAGCTGCTACTTATTGAATAAACAAACTTAAATCAAGTATAAGACTTTCGACTTTCCAGGCTCATTAAGGATCCTAAAAAAAAAAAAAGAGAGATTTGACTCTTTTGAAAGGCATATTGACTTTACAAATCTTTTAGCTATAAGGCACATAAATCTTTAAACAGGCAGACATCAATGTAATTATCTTCTATTTTTAAGAAATATACATTTAAATACATACATGTAAGCAAAAAAAAAAAAAGTCAATTTTCATGGCAAAAGCATATCTATTGAAATCTGCCACAAACTGCTACCAGAATGAAAGTTCTCAATTTTGCTAATCTTGCATGTTATACTGCAGTTAGTCTTGCACTGATGTTGATAAACCACTACTTTTAATCAGTAATTGTAATCCATAATTTTAAAAGAGATGCACGTCTTCTGAAGTGGACTTGAATTAAATGTTGAGGTAGTTTGAGAAAGACATGATTTATCTTTCATTTTAAAGGTTGAATCTTTTGGAAAATTCAGAAACTGAGTCTGGAAATTACTCTAAATCTAACAGTAAAAACAAAAAAATAAATAAATACAAGGGAGATATAAATAGTTATGTGTATAGTTTTTGGAACTGAAGTAATTTTGAATATGACATATGTTTAGACAGTCTACTTAATTTCAAAAATATTTCTGTACTAGCATTCTGTCGTTGAATCCACTCAATGAGCTTATATTTCATAGTAAAGCCTTTTATTGCCTGGGGCCTATTAGTAAGGCAAATACTCTAGGTTTTTGAACAGGTGGTCTACTGAAGTAGGCAAGAGCACCCACCCTGTTGGAAAATACCCAAGACAGACATTTTACTCATATTAAAATAATGTAACTAACTCAGTATAAGCCTTAGCAATATCTTAGTCTAGTGACCATTAGGAAATGGAAATAATTTCACCACTTAAAATATGTGAATAGAGGTAACATGCAATATTAATATTTTCTGTTTCTTAATCTTCAAGGAATTTAATTCTGGTGATAAAAATATTTCATTTTAAAAGTGGATAGTCCTCTCAAAAGCAGGGCTTATGTGTCTTACTCATATCTTAATTACATCTTATATTTGAATATCAGGTATATTCTTCTGATTATTTGGTACTCATATTGCAAAGGTCATTAAACACACACATGTAATTAATAGTGGTATATTCTTTTAATGATTTTCTGAAGAAGGCTATTCAAGATTAATTCAATCTACTTATGTGTCCAAAGTATGCCTTTAACTGGTTATCTCAGTGTAGACCCCTCCCTCTGTCAGTAAACTGTGAGCTGGAAAAAAACCTAATTTAAAAAAACAAATAGTTGTGAACATGTGTGAAGAGAAAATGTTTCTTCATATGACTCTAGAGAAATTGCTACATACTCTCAAAGTGAAAACCAAAGTCACAATTGAAACTGGGGGCAATATCTATAGTAACAGACAAAATGCAGCAGGCGATAGGCACAGCCTTTAGTATGCAATTATAGCTTGTTTTTTCCCCCTACATTTGGTATGCTCCCTAGATTGGCTACAGTTATTGCAAAACAGATTTCCCCTGTCTATTCCTATTCATGATCTGAGAGATAGCACAGCTGAGGGAATATTTAAGGGGACTTTAGGGATGAAACACTTTTTCTGAAGTGAATAGAAAGTTTTAGTCATGTGAACACAGGCTGTATCACATCACTTACCTTGAGGACCAATGAACAAGGCCTTATTCTTGTATTCAATAGCATAAGAAGGAAATAAACTTGTTGGGGAGTGTCCAGAGGAGGGCGATAAAGATGAACAGAAGGCTGGAACACCTCTCCTGTGAAGACAGAAAAGTTCTGAAAAAAGTTCTGAAGAAAACATAAAGTACTAGTGAGTATAGTCGATGATTAAAAAAAAAAATTATGTTACTACTATAACAATATTAAAATCTCACAGTTTCTTTCCCCCTCAAAACTTTAGTACTACTCTAGACACCGAGAAAATCTAGTATCAAATAATGTATTACAATTAGTTTTTCTTGCTGTGAAGATCACTGAACAGATTTAAAGCATATCCAGATTACTAAAATGGCACATTCTTTGAGGACCAATTAAAAGAATCGTGCTTGTTCTGCCTAAATAAGAAAGTTGAGGGGACCTAGTAGTAGCCCTATAATACTTGGAAGTAGGTTGCTGGGAAGATAAAGCTAGAGTCTTTACTGAGGTGCACAATAGCACAAAGAGGGAAAAAATATATTTAAATTCAAACAAGTTCTGAATAGAGATAAAGAAAATAACCCACTATGAGGATAATTGAGCATACAAACAGGTTACTCAGAGAGGCTGTGAAGTCTTTGTTCTTCAAAATCTTCAAGGTCTTGATGGCAAAAGAGCTTTGCAAAACCTGGTCTGAATTCAGCATTGACCTTTTTCTGAGCAGGAGGTGAAACTGGCTGACCAGCTGAGATTCCTTTTAGACTGAGTGATTCCTTGATTATCTGTTTGGATAAAATCAAACCAAAAGAAACAAACAACAAAAAAAAAACCAAAAGAAACAAACAACAAAAAAAAAGTAAAAAATATCTGAACCAAACCAAAAAAAACACACATAAAAGACCCCCACACACCTCATCCCCCCAAAAAAATCCCGAAGACTGAAGTAATAATATACTATTTAAAGGATTTTTGACACTACCAAACTAATCTTTCCATAATAAATAAGCACAAAAGTAGTACTACAAGAGATGTCTTTTCTTGCTGTCTAGTCCTTTCCTAACAGGCAACCTTGAAATGTTTTCATAAATAGATAACATTTCATCTGGATGTAATTTTGCTATCCCGGCAAAAATATCTCTCCCAGATATGGATTCAGCTGAAGATTTGAATTTGACAGTACTGAAGAGTGCATGAATTTGGATATAAAGATGGTGTAAGTATTTCTTTCAATTGAACATACAAAAAGTAACTGGAGTTTCTTTCAAAGTAGAAAAAACAAGAAAACTAAAAAGTAAGTATCTTTGAACTCAAGTGGGTGAACAACTTTCTTAGAGTAGGCAACTCCAACAATACATACTGACTGATGCATCAAAGGGATAATCTGTTTAGGGCAAACCTGGCATCTGAGACAGAAGGGTTAAAATAAGTGTTATCCATTAAAAAAAATTAGGACATGCTTGGAGTTATCCTAAAGAATGTTGATTTTTTTTTTTTTGAGTTTCAGGAAGTAACATGAAATTCAAGGGTCTTTGCCACCTTTCTTTTTGTACACGTGGTATAAATTGTGACAGAACCATAGTCTGGATGAGGCTATCAGGGACCTCTGGAAACTGCCTAATCAAACTGTGTTTCTCAATACAAGGGCCTTTCCCAGTTGAGTTTTGAGTATCTCCAGGGATATATACTCCACGGTCTTCCTGGGAAACTTATTCCAGAGTTAAACCAAATCACAGAAAAAATATTTCTCTTATGATGAAATGAATTTTCTTGTATTTCAATTTGTGTCTCTTGACTCTTGTTCTGTGTCTGGGTACCACTGTGAAGACTCTGTCTCTATCTTCTTAACTTTCACCTATCAGAAATTTATGCACATGGATAAAATTCCCTTGAGCACTCCTTTCTAATACCTGGAAAGTCCCAGCTCTCTATGCCTCTCCCTTTTACTCTCCTTAAGTCCTTTCAGTACATACATTTCCTGAAAAACTAAATTTCTCTGCCTTGTTAACAGCAACAAAATGTATCAGGCTTAACAAATTGACACGCCTCTAAAATTAGTTCTTTTCAAGACCAAAATATCACAGTTACTTAAATTGGAGAAGCATTGTTTATGTTCCAGGAATACTCCTTCAGTTTCTCCCACCCTGAAAATATTGTTCTGCACCTGCAAAATTTGCAGTAACTTACCCAAAATGATTTCTTCTACTGCTGAGACTAATACCTAAGTATTGCAACTTCTGATTGATAAAAATCATGAAAGGTTTAAATATGTTTTCTTCTTCCATATACTAGCTTTCATAGGATAACTTACCATTAGAAATGTAATTAGTAAGTACTGATTATGCCATGACCTTTTGGTCCATACTGACCAAAGAAAGCAAAACTATATAAACCCAACAGGGGTTTCACTGTAATGTTACTTGTTGGAGATACTATGTTTTCACATATGATTGTTTGCTTATTTGTATGTCAACCTCTGGATAATAACACTATTTTTTTTTCCAAAGGGAGCCAAACTAGGAGCTTTCTGTAAAGGGAAAATGTGGCATGACCAAAATATTTCTTCCAATTAATTCTTTCCTTAGATCTGGTAAAATACAATTGCTAGTTGAACAGTTGAACTAAGTTCACATTGCCTTCATTACTCCTTAATAAAACTAGTGACCTATCTGCTAAAAATAGATGAAAAATATAGTTAAGGATTTTATATCATAATTTAGGTGCATTTTATTCTAGTTAATAAAAGGATACATACTGAACTTGTCTTTAAATATTTTATCACCAATCGAAAAAATCTGTAACACTAAAAAAAAAAAGTTATACTCACATTTACATTATTTTTCCTTAGAACCTTCTTTTAGGTCTTCCTGTCCATTTTATAGATCGATGGTTAGTGTCTGCCCCAAAAGAGTAATCAGGTCTTGTAATAATAGGTGTTTCCATATCAGAATAGAATAATGAGTTTCTAACAATATTGTTCCTTATTGCTTAAAACTACCAAGAAAATATTCTATTTATTCCAATTAAAGAAAATTACTACCACTAAGTGGATATTGCAGTTACTCATAAGATATTAAATAGGAGTCACCAGATGGTGCTGTAACACCTAATTTTATGAAGTCCTTTGTCTGAACAAACAACAGGCTCTCTCTTTGGCCACAAGAAAAAGTACATTCTTTCTAGTTCAATGATGCACTTCATTTTAGGGAGAACTCTTGCAAGCAAGTAAAATATGTGCTTTCTAGCTTGTTTTCATTCATCAATCACATTTGTTGAGATAAGTAAATTTTTTGTGTTTGGGCTGAGAATACTAAAACAGATGAATTTTCTACATGCAATGTATCTGTGAGAAAAAAAGTAGGTGGTGTAAAATTAACACTTTAGGAACATAAGGTAAACTGCTAATTTCATTCTGAAGACTGACTATCCCTTCACAGAAGACTAACAGTTTGTCCAAAAAAAAATCTTTCGTCCTTCTTTAGTTATCCAGCAAAGAAAACAACCTTATTGGAACACCTTAACACCAGTCTTGGTCAGTTGGCTAAGGAACACAGAAACCTATGATGAACTCCATGGTCTTCAGAATTCATGGCATCTGACATGTCACACACTTTAATCTGTGCACTTATATTCAAACTTAACAAAAAACTCTCTGTAATTATCCATTTTACATCCAAGATATTCTCAGTTCAGACACCTGTTTCCCAATACCATTGCTTCATTCTGTTATGCCTCTGATTGCTTTGACCAAAAAGAAAATTTTCTTCTTTCAAACCATGGAGAAAACATGAAAAAAAGGAGCTATAAGGCAATTTTTTTTCATCTGAATAATAAAAAAAGGATAATGAGAATTTCATTCTTCTGTTTTGATTATATTTCCTCAGTCTGTATTTCAGTCAAACTTTACCCTCCATACTTGCTTACTTACTGCATCATCTTGTACAGAAGAGGTAATGAAGGCCTCATTCTATCAGCTGGAAGGAAGCATGAAATATTTTGTTCACATATGCCAGAAAGTGAAAATGATGTATTCTTCCTAAAAACTTGAAACAAGGTCTTCCAAGTGCAGATTCATGCTAAGAATAGACCGCAGTAAATATAAAAGCCAGCATGAAAAACATAAAACACATGAAGGAGCTCATATTCCAGTAAAGTTTAAAAGTAATAGTACAATAAAACAGATTCTGATTATTTTTAAAATATTTTCATGATTAGTTAGTTTATCAAATGCTACTTCAGAATTTCCAGCTTAATAGTTTATTTTCAGGCCAGAGCACTATACTATTGAGCTGAAGCACTTGAACAAGAAATTGCAACAGAAAGAAAAACACTATATAACTTATATTTTAAAAAAAGATTAAAAATCAGGAAATATTAGAACAAAATATCATTGTTTGACTATAAACAAGTTCTAATTTTTATTTGTATATATTTCACTCTAGATAATTTCAGCCTTGATCTCTTAAAAAAACCCCAAATTCTTTCAAAATATAACCAATTCTAACATA